ACACACACACACACACACACACACACACACACACACACACACACACGATTTTACACTTTGAAACTCTGGTAAAAGAGCACCTTAATCATTGCCATGTATTGGAGTCCTTTTAGCAGAAATAACAAAGGTGAATGCTGACTTTGCTATAAGATTTATTTACTCCCATTTAGAATCTAGAATTCTAGGGGTAACAGTAAAATATCCACATTATAAGGACATGTAAGGAATGTGTTACTGTCACCCTTTAACAGTACTTAAAATAATGGAGAAAAGAAATGTGTACAGGAGGGGCACCTGGGTGGCTCAGTTGGTTAAGTGACTGCCTTCGGCTCAGGTCATGATCCTGGAGTCCTGGGATCGAGTCCTGCATCGGGCTCCCTGCTCGGCAGGGAGTCTGCTTCTCCCTCTGACCCTCCCCCCCCATGCTCTCTCTATCTCATTCTCTCTCTCAAATAAATAAATAAAATCTTTAAAAAAAAAAGAGGGGCACCTGGGTGGCTCAGTCATTAAGCGTCTGCCTTCGGCTCAGGTCATGATCCCGAGGTCCTGGGATCGAGTCCCACATTGGGCTCCCTGCTCGGCAGGAAGCCTGCTTCTCCCTCTCCCACTCCCGCTGCCCTGCCTGTGTTCCTGCTCTCGCTGTCTCTGTCTCTGTCAAATAAATAAATAAAATCTTTAAAAAAAAAAAGAAAGAAAGAAATGTGTATGGGAAGAGGGGCTATGTAAGGGGGAGTAAAGGGAGGCCTTGACATTCCAAATAACACCGAAAACTGCTTATTTATTAATAATCAGCAGAGAAAAACTGATATAGGTAGCATTTTTCAGATAGCAAACATAATTCAACTTGTTTCATCACTAAGGGCAGCATTGTTGTGTATAATTTACAACCAGCCCTGACTCTAACCTGAAGCAATTTGGCTTGTCTATAAAACCTCACAATTGGAAGACACCAATTTCCTGTTTCTCTTAACCAAATGATTTACGGTTTTGAACTTTTGTTTCTGAAAACAAATAGCATTTGACTTTTCACACAAGCTAGACGATAGCTATTCGAGCTATTGTAGAAGCTATAAAACAAGCTTCCTCTAATGTTAAGAGCTTACTCTGTAATACTTTGTGAAGGCAGAAATTATATACAAAATTTCAAAAGCGATTTCTAATGAGAATTTTAAAAATAAAAAAACTATATATATTATTAAGCATTGTGATAAAAGGAAAAATAATAAAAATTACAAGTACCTAAGAAACCTGGGCAAAATGATTGGTCAGCCCCACCCTTTCTTTGGAAAAGAAAAAAAGATCTTATAATTGTTCAATATTAGGTTGCTAGGAGGATGGGCTTCTAAACAAAAAAAAAAAAAAACAGCCTTCTAAACTTGGTATAGTGTAGTAGAATAAATGCATTGAATACAACTTAAAAATCTCAGAGACTTCCAGCTTTCTTTTGTGAAATCCAAATTTCTTATTTTTATTGAGTTCCTCTGCCAGTAATTTTTTTTTTATCTCCACTAGCTGTATCTAGTGTCATTACATTTCTTTATTTTTAAATTTAGTTTTGATTGGGTAACACATGCATATGTAAAAAATTCAAAAGGCACACAACGGCGGTGAGTGAAAAGTTAAATCTCTCGTACACCCTTATGGCCCAGGAGTTCCCCTCCTGGCAGTTAATACAGCCACCAACTCTTCGATTTCCCTTTGCATAGGTGTTTTATGCAGGTGTGTGAGAGAGTACATGCGTTTGAGTTTTCTACACAAACGGCAGCGTATTATATACACTTTTCTGTACCTTGTTTTTGTTCTATTTAACAGAACATCTTGGAGAACATTTCACATCAGTGTATATAGGGCAGCCTCATTCTTTTTAAGTCTGCATAATGTCCCATTCTCTGGAGGGAGTGTTATTTAACTTAACTTTCCAACAGGGGCCCTGTTTCCCATCTGCTTCCACATTTGCATACTGTGCCCATTTCTACAAATGTAGATCTTCACTGCATTTCAAAACTCCTTGAAAGCAAATAAAATGACTCACAATTTTGCAATGATACTTTCAAAGTACTTCTGCACATGTATCATGTCACTTGAGCCCCATGTCACTGTGGATCTAGTTAATGACTCTAGGGCAGCTCAGTAGGTCACACATCGTTTCTTCTTAATAATTTTAATTTCAGCTTCCTCTGACAATTACAAAGGTAGTTCTAGCTAGCTGCTGTTACATGTTTGTTTACTGGGTATCATTTGTATTTGTCTGTGTGACTCACGGTCTCTTTTACGGATCATGTGCACATGTTTCCTAAGTGTTTAGAAGTGTTGAAGATACTCATTAGCAGCTCCTTATATATATTTCCTTAAAATGTATTTATATTCCTTATTTTTCTAAAAGTGGCATTAGATGTCATTTCCTGATACTTTTATTTCGGTAAATCCACAAATATTCTTTCATTAGAAAGACACAGATTTCTACATTAGAAAATTGGCTAGTTTAACTGCCACTGGTCCATTTGCCCAAGGGAGTAATCTGGATGCGTAAGATACTCAAGGAAGGGAAGCCGCCCTTGGTCTGCTCTTTGCCCATGGAAGTGATTAAATTCCAGGTCAAAACTTGGATCGTGAAAGTCTAAACCACACTGAAACTAACCCCACAGAATTCAAATTTCACTGCTATTTGCCGGCTGGAAAAGCTTAAGCGTGTTACTTCTCCTTCTGTGACTTAGTCTTCTCATCTCTAGGTACAAACTAACTTATCACACCTGCTAGACTCCAGGAATTTGGCTGGACAAGAAGCCAATCTGGGCAGCTGAATAGATTTGACAGCTCATCTGGAGGCCTGATGTGACAGAAGAGCCTGGGACACATCTACCTCAGGATACTGACCACTAGGAGTCAAAAGCTATCTCAGTTATGCTTAAAATTTAATCCAAAATTGGCAGCTCTCTCTGCACATGGGTCCTGTCCCTGTGCTATCATGAAAGCACCTTTTTGCTTGAGGCAGGCCCAAAACCAAAAGAGCCAATCTGTTCTCTCACCCAGAAATGATGGTTTGTTTGGCTAGATTAGTATTCTCGATACTGGCCCTCACCCAAGCTGACCATTTGGTGTGGGAGAAGGAAGGAAAGAGATGGTCCTCATGTCACTATTAATCTCTTGATATTCTATCTGGGGAACCCATTTATAGGTCACTTGAAGTAATCAAGTTACTGGTCTCTGGAGAGTACTGATGAATTGTCTGTGGTTTTGTTTTTTTTTTTAATGATGATACTATCTGGACTTTAGTCAACTAGGATCTCACAGCCTATTAGATTTAGTACTTTTGATGACTAAGGGAGAAGAGAGGGGAAAGTACTATATAGGTTTTGGCTGATTGAAGAGGAGAGAAATCTGGTGCTTTTTAAAGGAAAAATAATCATTAAAATAATTTAAAGTTATTAATCCGCTAAGAATCAGAGCACAGTCCAAAGCCTGTCATTGAGTTAATAATAGTTGGCGATTCCTTTCAGACATAGCTTTTGTGAGGTCATTTTTTTGAGGCTAGTGGTGAAAAGCTTCATAGCCATAGAGCAACATTTGGCAATAAATTAGTTCAGCTTGTTTCCACATGGCCCAAAAATCTTCATTTGTTCCATCATGAAAAACAAACTTTCATTTGCTTGAAGCAGGGAAAAATAAATGATTTTCTTTTGCATATTTTGACAATTTAATTTTTAGCATGCTTATATGTTAATCTTTTTTTTTTTTTTTTAAGCCACTAACTGCTCTTTTCCATGTTTGGTTTTAGTCCCTGTAAAGAAAAAAACCTGCATTTTTAGCTCTCAACAGAAAAAACCCAATTTTCTCAAGGCAACGGCAATACAGACCCAAAGAAAATACATGTGACTTAACACATTACTGAGTGAGTTTGGGGAGAAATCCTTCTTCCCAAGTATGAAGTGGGTTATTGCATTTCAGGTCATGATAATGTTGTGACATTGCTGTTGGAGTCACGGGTATGGAATAGGTGGCTCTGTTGTTTCTTCTTCCTACACGAGAGATGATGCACTGTGAAAAACAAACTGAGGGTTCTAGAGGGGAGGGGGTGGGAGGATGGGTTAGCCCGGTGATGGGTATTAAGGAGGGCACGTACTGCATGGAGCACTGGGTGTTATACACAAACAATGAATCATGGAACACTACGTCAAAAACAAATGATGTAATGTATGGTTATTAACATAACAATAAAAAATAAAAAAAAGAATAAAGAATTGCATTGGCTGGTCAAAAAAAAAAGAACTGATCACTTTTAACTATAGTATGAAACAAATGTGACATCAGTTATATAGCCCTACTCAAAAAGCATTAAATTAGGAAGGCAAAAATACCCAACTAGAGTTGTAGAAAACATTAAAGTTTGCAAAAATATCCTAATCGAGGTTTCCTCTGAGGAACCACTGGAGTACACATAGGGGTGGGGGTGGGGGTAGCAGCAGTAATGATAATAGCTAACATCGAGTGCTTATTATGTGACAGGCTGTGTGCTAAAAGTTCTGCCTCTGTGAACTCATTTAATCCTACAAGGAAGGTAATATTATCTTCATTTAAAATGTGAGGAAAATGAGGCTTAAGGAGATTAAGTTACTTTGAAAGGTCACACATCTCTCTGTCACTAGAGACTCACCTGGTTGTATCAGGCTGCCACTATTAGAATACTGGTCTACCATTCACTGGCTGCCACTATTAGAATACTGGTCTGCCACTCACTGGTTACAGGACCTTGGGCAAGTTAGTTAACCTCTCTAACTATCAGCTCTGTAAATAGGTTGCTCCTACATTTAAATGAGATAGTTCATGTAAAACACTAATGGTACCTGGAAAGAAGAAATATTTAATAAATGTTAGCTGTTCTTAAAATAAGAGAAATTAGCAAAGAATCAAAGAGTTAATAGAGGTTTAATTTTTTATTATTATCATTTTTTGGTATGTGTGTATATGTGTGCATGTTTCTTATTCCCTGTATTACATTTTTAGTATTACCTCTCAGGAATGAAGTTGATCACAGAAATGATGACAATTATATTAACAGGGCTTTACATTTCTCAACATGCTTAAACGAATTATGCAATTTGATCCTTAGAACAGTATTCTATATTTGTCAACAAACTGAGGCTTAGGGAAGTTAAGTAATATTACGTTGGCCACATAGTTGACAGAAAAAGTGGAATTCAGATTTGAAACTATGAAAGTGAGTTTAATTTATATCCTTTGAGTTGAGCTAGTTTACTGGTTTTAGTAATATTTTGTTGATCTTGGGATTTGCAAGTATATAATCAAATCATCTGCATACACTGATATTTCTATTTCTTCCTTTTCCATAGTTGTGACTTTATTTTTTTCCTAATCCTATTGGCAGCAGTGTTTGCAGTATTAAAGAGAAACTTACCCTGCCTTTTTGTACCTTTGTTACTACTTCTCGTTTTAATCCCTCTGTACATCATCCTCCAAATGCTTGGAAACGGCCCATGCCTGTCCTATCCGGCCATCAGAACTGAATGAAACATTACCGCTATAAAAAATCCTCTCTGAGCTTCTCAGCTAGAGTAACCTCTATTTATTCTACACCAGTGGTTCTCAGTTGGGGGTGATTTTGTCCCCCAGGGGACATTTGGCAATATGTGAAGTCATTTTTGGTTGCCATAACTAGGGCATGCAGTGCTACTGGCATCTGATGGGTAAAGGCCAGGAGGGATGCTGCTAAACATCCTGCAATGCACAGGACAGCCCCCTGCAATGAAGAATTCTCCAGCCTAAAATGTTAGCAGTGCTGAGGTTGAGAAACCCTGTTCTAAACTAAAGTCTCAAGGCATTAGGACACATATTATTTTCCACTTTAAAAAAACTTATTAATGTATGTATTTTATCATCAACTGTATTATTTGAGGACAGAGATTCCATATTAATCATCTTCTGATCGCCAATGTTCATAATAATTAGCAAGTCTCCCTACATATCCACCTGTATTACCTCATTAAATACCATAGATTAATTTAAACCTTAATCGACCATTAACTACAAAAGATGGCATATGTTCAATAAAATGATTTAGAGTTTCCTTAAGACACTTGATAAATGAGAAAAATAATACAGGACCTAATTTTTTTAATTTGTAAAACTCAGGCAAATGTTCATTCTTATTTCTGATTCCATGCATCTTCCCCAAATGATTCCATAAACCATGATATATTTAAAAAGGGGTATAGAAAAATAATATATTTGAAAAGATACAATGCACATATGAAGTCCATTTGGAAAAACACTGCAACCATGACAAATCTGATGATGTCAACTAAAAACTCTACTTGCAGAATCAAACCAAGGAGGAAAAAGAAAAAGTGAAAACACGTTCAAGACACTAGGCTCAAGGGAAACACAATCAGGGAAAACAAATGCTCAACATACCAATACTGGTGTCACATTTAAAGCTCAAATTTTTTAAAAAAATCTGATCTCCTTGGAAGGGAGTAGACATTGCTTTATTTAAAGCCCCTAAAGTATCATATTTGTTATCATATGTCAGCAGCAATTCAGAGAGGATTTTGTCAAGGAAGAAAATATGAAGTTCCAGAATTCTTCTCACAAGTGATACTTCCAATAAGAGGTAGAAGATACAATCAATACAGGATGGCTTTGCTATATAATAGCAATCTTTTTTACAGCCAGGAAGGCTACTGTTACTTTCCACTAATAGCTGTATTTCTAAATAAAAATTTGAAGGGGAACGTTCCATGTTACTTTTGGAAAGAGCTAAATACAAATTAGGTAGTTAATTGGTGCATCTAATTTTTGTGTGGTTTTCATTTTTATGCAGTACTTTCATGTAACAATCTAACAAATACATCCTTTGAAGTGGAATACTCTATTAGGTAACACAGATGTTTTCTTGGATTTTATTATGCTCATGAAAATTCATAATATTCATAATAATAGTGTAAAGTAATAATTCACTGTGGCCAATAGCATGAGCAGTGGGCACAGTGAAAATTGAAGCATTTCACATGAAAGAGCAGAAGGCAGCTCCAAGAAAGAATACTATCCATCTCCAAATGAGATTTATCCATTTCAGTAATTTGTTCCCAGTTTTTAATGCACATATTTTTTTATGAATACTATTATTTATTTCCTGATCAAGAAGTGCTACAATTACATGAATTAATCAATGACTTACCTAGTAAATCTGAAGCTCTTAAGTTTTCTTTCAGAAACATAACAGAAATAATGGCACTACCTAGAAAGAAAATGGCCATTAGTGGTGTTTCCAATATAAAAACATACATTATGCGGTGCCATTTGAAAGGAGTTAAGCACTTGTGTCTTATACCTGGACTAACTATGTCCTGTAGCTTTAAAGGACATAGTTTCACACCCAGTAGCTGTGGCTGTGAAAACAATTCCCCCCCACCCCCACCACGGTTGAGGATACATAGAAACTGGCCTGGTTTACAATGGACCGAGGACAGTGGCTGGGATAGTGCCCTGCGGACAGCTAAGGGCATAATAAAAGCTTACTAAATAACTAAATGAATAAATAGAAAGAAAGAGAATGAGAGAGAGGGAGGGAGGGAGAGAGGGAGGAAGGAAGAAGGGCAGGGAGGGAGGGAGGCAGAAAGAGCAAGAAGGGATGGAAAGAAAGAATGGAAGGAAGGAAGTTTTAACTTTAAATATATCCCAAACCGAAACTCATTATTTGCCTTCATCTCCTCCTAAAATTCCTATTCTAATGACATCTCTAAGGAGCCCCAGAATCCTCGGACTGCTGCCGTCCCCACTCTCCTTCACACTATACATCCAATAGGATCCCGGGTCTGCCGGGTCTGAGTTTCACCATCTGTCCTGCCCAGCCCCTCCAGTCCACTGTCACTGCGCTGCTCAGCCCAGCTTCACCTCAGGCTTAGACCTCAGGCTCCTGCTGCTCCCCACATCTGTTCTTGATCTCTTTCATATTCCATGCCCATCCTTACTCCCTTACTCGAATAATCAGAATTCCCAGAACCACCATCTAGTTTCATTCTTAAGGACTCTTATTTGGGCTATTCCCTTTGCAACTCTGCCTCCATTCTTGTGACCAACTCTGAACTCAAGGATCACCTCTGGATTCCCCTAGACCCGCTGACCAAACCACCCTTTTGTGTAATTACCCCCTCGAATATAGCTTTCTTGTTACACTGAAGATTTATTTGCCTGTCTCCTCTCAAAGACTATCGGTTCCTTTGATTCGGAGAGATAGGTCTTATTCTTCTAAGATCTCCCGGGGTTACCTAGCACATAAATAAGAGTTTGTGGGATCTCTGCCCTGCACTTGCTGGCCCTCATGGTGTAAGATCCTCTTTCCCATGACTGATGCTACTGAACCCTCAACCTCTAAGTAAGCCATGACCTGCTACTATGGTCTCAGTTCATGTAGGCTATGTTGACTCTCTTTGAGTTGTTCCTCTTATAGAGCCATTCCTCTATGAGTAGAGGCACAGGGAAATCCAAACTTGCAATAATACAAAATAGTACATAACATAATTTGTATTTAAATTTTTTAAGAGTGGGGAAGGGGCAAAGGGAGAGGGAGAGAGAATCTTAAGCAGGCTCCATACCCAGCACAGAGCCGGATGTGGGGCTTATCTCACAACCCTGAGATCATGACCTGAACCAAAATCAAGAGTCGGACGCTTAACCAACTGAGTCACCCAGGTGTCCCTGTATTTTAAATTTTTAACAGAATTTATTCTGTTAAAAACCTATTCTAGGTTTTTACGTTTATTTTTTAAAGTAAAAATATACAGAAGAAAGTCATCATAAAAATAACTCATCACCTAGAAAAAACTGCAGTTAATATGTTGGCGTGTGTATTTTACCTTAGCTGAGATAAAACTGTAATGCAAATGCTTTTTTTTCAGTTTCCTTAGTTACCATATTATTAAACTTGCCATGTCATTTAAAATTCTTCTTAGATAAAAATTTTCATGAGTCTATATAATAATTCATTAAATCAGTTAAATTTGAATATAACTATATCTGTTATTCTGGCAATTGATTTAAAACAAAAATAAATCCATAGCAGAAACCCTCATTCAAGATAAGATGGGATTCTCTTATGTTTTCTCCATCTTTTTCTCAACCTGGCTCTCTTTTATTCAAGCTGAGCTATGTCCCTGCAAGCTTCTCCTGGGCACGTAATTTATCCAAATGGACATTTTACACAGAATAAACAGAGCATGGAAAATGTCCACCAACCATGAATTTAATTGGGTGGTGTGGCTTTAAAACACTAAAGCAATGTTTTCTGTACAGATGCATAGCCCATTACGTTAAGACTGAGTTTGGGACAGGTGTAAAAATGTCTGAAAATTTTCCATTTCATACTTGAACCAAAACAATTCAGGGAAACTAATTTCATATGTTAGAGAATTAGGGAAGGTATAAAAACCAAGACCCCATTCCCATCCCATCACTGACTTCCTGTGTAATTACATAAGGAATGTTTCCAAATGGAGAGAGGTAGATCGATAAGAAAGAGGTGAAGTATCACTACTAACATATACCAAATGCATTCCATTATAACAATCCTTGAGAGGACTATTTCACAGCAAAGGAGTCCAGGAAGAAGGGAGACACTGTTTACATGGAATGGGGACATCTTAGAGCCGGTAGGAGATACAAAGACAATGTACTCCAGGTCCTAAACTTCATATCTGGGAGGGAGGTCCAGAGAAGTTGTTTGTTCATTCATTGATCCATTCATTTAACAAACATTTATATTACAGTGGAATTGGAACCAAAGCCCACATTTCCTTAACCCCAGTCCAGAGCTCTTTCAGGTATACTACACTCCATTGCCTCCCTTGAAAGGAGGAAGGCATTGCTCTCCTTCTCTTCTTGTTGCTGAACCAGTTTCATAAATAATTTCACTTTTAGAAGGGATGGGGGAAATGTTCTATAGGTGACAATTTCATTGCTTAAAGAGAAAGGAACATGATTGGTAACAATAAACTTGAAATATAGTATATGCATCACATTATATTGATTGCCATAAAATAGTTACCCGTGTTTTATGAACATAAATATGCTACTTTCACTCTCTGAAAGAACTTCTGTCTAATGCACTTCCATACTCATTTTTTTTGTTTGTTCTAAGAGAACGTGAGAGTTTCTACAAAATTGTTAGATAAGAGAATAAGTTTTTAGTTTTATTTATCTAGCAAAGCTAGTAATAAAAAAGGACATTCTGTTAAGAAACACTCATAATTCATTTATCTTTCAAAATATGGTTAAAATGAGAGCTGTGCTGAGCAAAGACAGTATCTGAGCAACAACTCACAACATGACTTCTAAGTAGAGCAGTAACTTTTTAAAATGAGAAAAAATAAATAAACTGAAGTGCCCCATATACATTTGCAATCAGAGATTTGTCAAGCTCAACCCTGTCTAGTCTAGTTATTACTGTAACAACCACCATTGCCTAATAAACACCTGGGAAGAGGAAAGAACTACTATGCTTTTACTCCTATAGTAAAATTTAATATTCAGAAATCGAGCATTTCAAGATCAATAGCTTAAAAAGCATTAAAACAGAACACAGTTGTAAATTAAATAGATTTAATGTGCTAGGTATGATTAAACTCTACTTACTACTGAGCGTTAACTTCAGCACTCAAAGTTTTGTGTAGATTTTTGACTGGGGGTATATTTGGGCAGAGGTTCGAGAACCCTTTTCCGTTCTGGCCTTCATATGGACACAGAACGAAACAGAGTGCTCGCAAACATGGGTCTACACAGAGGGTACTTGTGGACGCTGGGGTTAAATTCATTACACCGTGTCACACAAGGACTCCAGAGCTGGACACTGAACCACAATGCACATAATGCATTAAAAAAGAAAAGGTGAGAGGTAGCATATGAAAGATAATAGGACCGAAATCTAAACAGTGGTTATGTAGAAGTCATGGTGGGGAAAAAAAAAAGATAGCAGGAATATTTTCTGTAAGGGGAAAAAATAAAAAAGCTTCTAGTACTTTCTCTGGTGCAAAATGAAATTCCCATGAGGCAGTTTATTAAGGTATTCACTAGGCCTTAAAGTTCTAATGCTTCATTGTCAGGAAGACTCTTCAACAACAATTATTACGGCTGAGTCAACTATTCTATTTTTGGCCATTAGGGGTCATTCAGATTAGCAATTAGAATGGAGATCCTTTCCGGTCAAGGTTGACATAGAGAAACTTACATGTAGGATTTCTGATTCTGGCTTCCAGATGAAAACAGATAAAGGCCAAGCAAGATTCTCGTGGCGTCAGCTGAACCAAGTCTAGATGTGGGGGAGGGTGCCAGTTCTAGCAGTAGGTATGTGACCTGGTGTTGAGCTTTGTAAATTTCCCTGAAATGAACCCCACGTTTGTCCTTTCTTTGCCTCCTCTCTTACATCTCAGACTTGGTCCAAGGACTGGCTGTTATTATGGAAGAGTTATTTCGCTTAATGTGGTCAAGAGTTGATGCTCTAAGATCCATAGCAGGCCATGAGTGAAAGAAAAAGACAACTGTGAATTAATCTGGTGCATAAGAATTCAGGAAGATCATACAAATTTAATTTGGGTTTCTTTTGTAGTAGCCACCACAGGGATTAATAAATCAGAAGTTAAGCATCACATTTTTCTATGTTAACAATCAAACTCAAGGGTAGATTTTTACAGGTGAGTTTAGATCTCTGTGTCTGTAGAATAGATAACTGAGGATTCCGTTTTTACGTTTATATGTGCACTTTTAAACTCTCTTTTTACTAAAGGTTTAACAGTACAGAAGAGTTCAGTTATTATTTAATGTGTTATACTATGGCAATTTTAAAACATTTTGTTCACATTTATTTACTACTTCTCATTTTTTACCCTTTATGACAACTTAATTTTTAAGATCTTTTTTAAAACTTGAGGTATAATTGACACACCACATTATATTAGTTTCAGGTGTACAACATAATGATTTGATATTTGTATTTGGGTTTTTTTTCCTTTTTTTCTTTTCTTTTTTTTTTAAAGATTTTATTTATTTGAGAGAGAGAGCATACACATGAGTGGGGGAGGGGGAGAGGCAGAGGGAGAAGCAGACTCCCGGCTGCTCAGGGAACCCAATGCAGGACTTGATCATAGGACCCCAGGATCATGACCTGAGCGGAAGGCAGATGTTTAACCAACTGAGCCACCCAGGCACCCAGGGTTTTTTGTTTTTGTTTTTATTTATTTTTTAATT